TGAGCTTGACAAAGAGGTAACATCCTCGAAACGCGTTGCTCCCGAGCTTTCACCCACTACCTCACCAACCTGATCCTTCCTCACCTTACCACCATCCCGGTCGATTCTCCATCCTGCATCATCACCACGGCACGGACACTGGCCCAGACACGTCCATCTCAAAGCCTGAGTTCCTCCACCCGCAGCTGCAGCCCAGCCTGACGTCAGTCCTCACATCACTGGCACTTCACATTGCTTCAGCGCGGACACGGACACACTGTCACATCCATCCGGTCCCGAGACCCACTTAAAGTAAATGAACCATCTCCTCTTGCTTTCCCCACTTTGCTACTATCAGTTTCATAGTCCCCCTAGCCTTGCGCCCTCACGTTTGTTTTTTGTTCCACAAGTGCAGGCACTCCTCCTGTCTCCTAGGGCTGCAGGCGAGGTAGAGCTACAGCACTCTATCCCCTTGGCCCAATCCGAGAGCGCTGTTCGTATTATTTGTAATTGATTTACTTGCTGAGTTCTGTAAACTATGTAAATAGAAGATCCTTACCGGATATCCCAATAGCAGTAGTAGGATCACCAAAAGTTAATTTTATTGAACAACTGTCAAATGAAAACAAGCGCTTTCGGGGCTGCACAGGGTCCCTTTATCAGGCATCAGTCAATGTTAAACCTGGTGAAGGGACCCTGCCCACTTGCGAAAGCGCTTGTTTTCATAGGAACATTTGGTGATGCTACATGGATACTTCGGTGTGCTGGTGACATTCTTTGAAACTGTAAGCAATGTGAGTCTTCATATTCCCATCTGCTGAAAGTTCACATCCCTGATGAAGGGGGTCCCCTATAATAACCACTGAATCGTGTTGGATTGTTAATCTACTTTGTATCAATAAACTTTTTTCCTTAGACTTTACCAGTGCTCTGGCACTCTTTAACTCATCGCGCACCTTACATTCTGAATGTACAATCTCCTTTAGATCTACCAACATCTATGTAGTGTAAGGACCCGCCTGATTGGGTACAAATTGATTGGATAGTTTAGATAGGTCCTCCTATTAGATAATAGTTATAGATAATAGATATAGTTTTGGTAAATCTTAAGATTTACTCAGCACTCCTCTTAAGAGCCCTAATGCAAGCAGTGGGCTGTCTCTTGGGAGGAGTTATGCAAATATTGATATTACTTGATGGGTGGGTGTCAGCCCAGAGGAGTGGACATTCCTTGGAGGGTTTATGTAAATATTGAAATGCCTTGATGGGCGGCTCGGCCGCACTGCTCGCACACCCCTAAGGCCGGCCCTGGCTGTCAGTTTTTGAGGAGTGCCTGGGCTCTGCAAGTGGCTGATACCAAGACAAACTCAGGTACTTGCACTGCATATATTTAAATAAATACATTTAATGATGTTTACATTATTTTAAACTGCATTAATTTGTGTCTTTTGTATCTGCCTAGAATTATATGTTTAAGTGGACTTGTCAGCAAATGTAATCTATTCAAAGTAAACGCTCACGTTTAAGGTTTTAAGGTTCGACCTGGGGAACAAACTGGTGGGCAAACTCGGACTAACCTAGGTAACACTAGGTGCCTCGTGATCGTTCTGACGAAGGGGGGCGTGGCCCCGGAAATGCGTAAACGAAGGAGTCCTGTGCTGGGACACAGGTTACTGTGCAACCTATTATAGATGCCGCCCAGTCTTTGCTTGGAAGCTTTTATTCTGATTCACTATTGTGAGTATGTTTTTATCCTGTTTTGCAGCTTTTATCATTAAAAACAATCTACACTAGGGTGGGCGCCATTCTCTTTTCTTCTTTTCCCATAGTGTTGCAGCTCCACTGGCTGAAGTGGGGCAGCACCCCTAGTAATCCTCATTTGCATAAATTTTTCAATTGGTGGTCATAGTTTGGCGCTTTTCATTCGTTTAACTAGGTGCCTCGTGGTGCCTGTTCTTAGGCAGAGAGTTTACTGTTCTGTGTTTTAAGGTTCAATAGACATAGGAGGAAAGTCTGCTGCACAGACATTGTTCCATGATAGTCTATTATGCCTGACACTCAACACTGCCAAGCATTTGTGTTTATTTTGAAGGTGGGAGGAACAAAGCGGCACAGGCATGCATCGCCAAAGCTATATGTCTTGGTGGAACTTTAGAAATTAAATCTAAAGATTCCTCCCAAATGCCTCACCTCATATGTAGATAACATGTTACCAGTGCACCACCGACATACCAACCACTGACTTACCATGAAGAAATTTTATTCTTGTCCATGAGTGTTCCCAACAAGGTGGTGATGCACTTAACCATACAGGATTCCATCATCCAGGCATATGTACCAAAAGTGGAAGGATCTGTGGACTGTCATCCCATGGATATGGCTATCTTTATATCTGCTAGTTACAGGTCCTGTGAACACTAAAAGACTAGTACTTTATCAATGGTGGGGTTTTTTATAGCTTGAGAACATCTTACACCGAGAGACAGAGGAAGTGACATGAAGCAGACACAGAGAGTAGCAGTCAGGGATTAGTTGCAGATAGCAATACAAATGGATCCGTGGTGCACATAACTCCATGGGAGTAAACATACCAGGCTACATTTCCCTACATCATACATTATACCTGAGTGCTTCATTTATGTCGTTACCAAATAAGTGCTTGACAATGTCTGGCACTAGCGCTTGAACGTTTTGGCACTGTTGGACAACAAGATGGTATAAGCCATAAAGCCTCTTTGGGTCTACTGGGTGTACTTGGATCTTCTGGAGACGCGTAACAAAAATTAATAAAAAGTTACACAAATTTACCATTGCTTATCTCCTCCCATTGGAATATTTCCCTTCTAGTTGAGTTTTCTCTCCAAACAGCTGACATCATAGCTCTGGCACTTATGTACTGTTGGACAACAAAATGGCATTAGCACTAAAGCCTCCTTGGGTCCACTGGGTGTACAGGCAGTCCCCGAGTTACCAACATCCGACTTACATACGAATCCTACCTACAAACAGAAGCTTTTACTGTACAGCAGGGGGTCCCAGGCCACAGCCAAATTGTACCGCGCAGCATTTCAATAGTTGTAATGCTATCGTGCTCGTGCCGACGAGGAGTGCCCGCCTTTTTGGGTCTGGTTCGTAGTACTGTACGTACGTTACAGGAAGTTGGCCCAACATTTTCAAAATCCAATTGTCACAGGGACAGAAAGTGAGGTGAAATCTTCTGAACAGGGGCACACACAGCAAAACAAACGTTACAGGGGGTTAACCCTTCCCTATGCCATATCTCAAAACTAAAAAAAATGTGGGGCTGGAGTTATACTTAAAAAATGTACCTGTTCCAACTTTCAAAGAAATTCAACTGAAGAACAAACCTACAGACCCTATCTTCATAACCCGGGGACTGCCTGTAGTTGGGTCTTCTGAAGACATATAAGAAAAATTAAGGAAAAGTTACACAAATTTACCCAATGGAATATCTCCCTTCTAGTTGATTTCTCTGTCCAAACATTTGATGTCATAGCTCTGGCACTTATATATGGTTGGACAACAACATGGTATTAGCCATAAATCCTCTTGGTCTACTGGGTGTACTTGGGTCTTCTGAAGACATATAAGAAAAATTAGGTAAAAGTTACACAAATTTACCGTCACTTATCTCCACACAATGGAGTATTTCCCTTCTAGTTGAGTTCTTTCTCTCTCTCTCTCTCTAAACAGCTGACAGTATACCTCTGGCACTTATATACGGTTGGACAACAACATGGCATTAGCCATAAAGCCTCCTTGGATCTACTGGGTGTACGTGGGTCTTCTGAAGATGTGTGACAAAAATGAAGGAAAAGTTACACAAATTTACCATTGCTTATCTCCACCCAATGAAATAAGCAGTGTCGTGACTGAAGAAAGGTTGAGAAATTCTGCATTAGATGTGAGGACACAGAGAGACATACCACAGGTGGAGCGGAGGGGGAGAGAGGTGATGGAGGTCCATCAGACGTTAAGGCGCCAAGGGACATGCCACAGCTAGAGCTGAGGGGGGGAGGTTATACAGGTCCATTAGATGTGAATCTGTCCTTGGACCCCTTCTCTTCTCTATCTACACCTCTTCCCTTGGTCAGTTGATCACTCTAGAGTCTCTCCCATCCTATGGAACGCTTTACCCCAACCTGTCTGTCTATCTCCCACTCTGACTGCCTTTAGGCGATCCCTTAAGACTCATCTCTTCAGGGAAGCCTATCCCACCTCAACCTAACCGCTCAACTATCACACTCTCAAACAATCATCCCCGCACAGCTACCTCCTCATGTATCAATTGCCCCTCCCTTTTAGATTGTAAGCCCTCAGGGGCAGGGCCCTCCTTACCATCTTGTCTTGAATTGTATTGTGATTGTAATGTCTTCCTTATATTGTAAACTGTTGGCGCTATATAAATCCTGTATAATAATAATACACCAAGGAATAGACCACAACCGGAGTGGAGAGGGAGAGAGGTGAGTGGTCACTGCCCCAGGACCAAGGATCGAGTATTTCTTCTGTATTTTCCCACCTAGAGCAAAAACAAGCACCCCCCAGGTACCCCCTGCAAGGGTTAATTTTCAAAACCCTGGAGTACTTCTTTAAATTGCCTATTGAGTGGCAAGTTCATAAAAATATCAACCATAATCAATAAAAACAGAAAAAAAAATCCATTGGAGATATTGATATTTACAATCCAGCAAAAGGATGAGCCGTCGTTGGGTTTGTCGGCCTTTTGATAGATGTTGACCAAAGTCTTTAATATTTTTTACATTTAAAAAAAATTTTTAATCCAAAAACATTCAGGTCGGTCAAAGAAAATCAGACGTCTACTATTCTTTTTTCCCCTTAATCCGTTATAAATCTCATTGGGCGCACTTTTTTTTTAAGAGGCCCGTGTCCATGCAAAAACAACAAAAAAAGGTTCACCGGAAAGTTTTTGTTGCGCCGGTTAGTGCTTTGGTTTTTGTTTTTCCTTTTTTTTGGTGCCCCGTCTTAATCCGAAGAAAAATTGCTTCTCATTTGCAAACGTATCGCTCCACAGTCCTCTCGCATTTTTTGCAGGTCACGTAGCAACACCAGTGGTATTTACAATGGCACCTCTCCACCACTTTGTCCATGTACGGGTTGTAGCCCCTTCCGCAGCACATTAAGTCACAACTGTCGCTTCCATTGGATGTTTTATTGCATTGTCTGTAAGAAAAAACAAAGAGCGTTAATCATGTCGCCTTCAACTGAGGGGAGCCAACGCCATTGTTTGGCAGAAACACAGAGACTAGTTAATGACAAATGGGGCCTAGCAGCAGATGTATCAACTTATTGCAGAATAAAGCAGAAGGGAGAGAGAGAATGCTTTGTGTGGGGACACCCGGGCCACGGCGGACGGGTTGGTTAGACGTCCTTGGATGCCGCTGCTCTGTGGAATGTACACACACACAAAGTCAGATGCCTCGAGGTCTTCTGCAAACTAACCGCACCAGATATATCAGACACTTTCTTGTGTTGTGAGAGTTTGAATTATGTGAGAGTTATGAATATAATTAGAGTCATTTAGTCAGAAGCTCCTATGAGAGCCGGTGGTTCCTCGGGGCCCCAGGATACGGTGCAGCTGGGTGTTATTGTTCAATGGCGTATTTATGGTTTTCAATCCTGATCAGACTTGTGATGAAATGATGTCATACGTCTACAATGATTCAAGTGATAAATACGCCATTGAAGAGCTTCCTTAGAGCAAAATTGGCTTGTAGGTAATGTTCCTTTGCACCGTAACCCAACCTAACCTTTTCTTTTTGAACAATTGTCTGTCTGTCTGTCTGTCTGTCTGTCTGTCTGTCTGTCTATCTATCTATCTATCTATCTATCTATCATCAATCTCTATCTCTATATACAGTATATATTAGGGATGCACCAATACCGATACTTGGTATCGGTGCCAATACTGAGTATTTGGGCTCGTACTCACCCAAATGCTCCGATACTTACCTCCGATACCCGAACTTCCAGTCAGAGGGAGATCTCCCTCTGACCACAAGTGCAGCGGGAGCATGGAGCTGGCTTCCTTTCCAATCAGGAACCCATGCGGTGGGTTATGACCTGCCTCCCGGCTTCACTTGTTGCTAGGCAGCCTGGCTTCCTGACCAATCAGGAAGCTGGGCGGCATGTAATGACCCACCTCCTGGCTTCCTGATTGATCATGAAGCCAGGCTGCCTAGGAGCAAGTGAAGTCGGCTTCCTAGCCAATCTGAAAGCCGGTAGGCAGTTCATGATGTGCCGCTCGATCGCCCCCCCCCTTTCCTGCCCTGCCGGGCTGGGGTTCCCCCTTACAATTCCTACCAGACCTAAAGGGCCTGGTATGGATTTTGGGGGGAACCCCACACACTTTTTTTTAACTTGGGGGGGTTCCTCCTAACATTCCTACCAGACCTAAAGGGTCTGGTATCAATATGGGGGAGGGGGGGGGAGACCTAACACTTTTTTTTCTCTTCTGCAGACTGTAAAAGAAAAAAGTATTTATTTTCTTTTTTTGTGTTATGTCACTTTGCTGCAACGAAAATTCGTCCACAAATGAAAATTCGCACAGACTACCGCTAACGAATTTCGGAATCGGAAATTCAGATTTGTTTTCATTCATCATTTCTGTCATGCGAATCACAAAAATTCATCCGAATAACGAATCTTTCCAAAAAGAATCGTACATGTCTATTATTTAAGGAGTATACCTCTGCAATCATTATGTCGGATGTAACATGTTGGCCTGGATGGAGGGCTGTGTATCCAGCTAGACACTTGTGTAATGTAACAGATTAATTCTACAATAAAGAAGTGCAGAAAATGTAATAGCAGCATAATAGCCAGGAAAATTGTATTTTCAAGCTGTATATTCCTCCCGGGGGAGTTGTACTTTAAGAAGACAATGTATTCTACTTCATTTACAGGCGTATGCAGGTTTCCGGCGCCGATACAACAATTGGTGCTGTTTGGCGGAATCATAAGAAGTCTGCAGATGAAAGGGCGGAATGACAGGTTGTATATAAACACACAGTAGCACAAGACAGATTTTGAAAACTGATCCGAGAGGCTCAACAATGCAGCCAAGAAATAAGTGCAGATTACTTATCATGGTGGGGGGGGGATGGGCATGTGTGAAAGCAGTGTGGTAACCGACACAATGGACCACAATGGTAAAGAGATACTAATAGGAGATAGAGATAGAGCCGCCATCGCTACAATGTAATCCTGAGTATAGAAAGAGCCGCCACTGATACAATGTAATCCTGAATACAGAAAGAGCCACCACTGATACAATGTAATCCTAAATAACAAATAGACTGAAAGGACTAAACAAACCTAAAGCTGGCCATACACCAGTTTGTTAGAAAAAGTTTGTTTTTTGGAACGTTCAATTTTCTAATAGTGAATAGAGTTGAATTGACAATCATTTTCAAACCGCAGTAATAAACAAAATCCAAGGAGCAGGAAGGAAACATTTTTATGAATGGAATTTTAACAGTGAAAGTGGTTTTCATTTGGGAAACTCTATTCACTCCAAAATCCATTGATAAAATCCAACGGAATTTCAAACAACATTCGTCAAGTCTCTGATGGTAAATAATAATCAATGCGATCTGCACCAGTAGAGTGTAAGTGAAAGCTACTAAGCACTAATGATCGTGATGATCAAAATGAATATAAAGAATAAATAATGTGCCGAGATGATTATCAGTCAAAGCATTTGAGAAAACAATCTCATATAACAAAACATTAAATAAAGATAATCATAAAACATGCAACTTCTGTGCAGTAGAGTACCATAGAAGGGAAAGTCCAAGTGTAATCAAATGGAAGTAATAAACTTCTAAAACTGGTGAAAGTGATAAACTAATAATATAGAGATCTTCTGCCAGAGAAATCTTGCAGACCGCACACCAGATAGATGCTCCAATCCACAAGTGATGAATGGTGATATACAGTTGGGCGCTCACCTGGGCTAATGACCAATACAGGCCATAAAACACTGTTCCCTTCTTGGCGGGGAGGGACACCTTTTAGGCATTGACTCCGGACCAACTCATGGTAACATCCATCCAAAAAGAGACAAGCAACAAACACATAGAGGTCTATTCACAAAGCTGACGTAGGCAGCCGAGTGACTAACCAACCCGAAGTGAAGTGAGCCGAGCGCTGTTCGGCTATTCACTTCAGGCTTGTACTGCTGATTTCAGCCGTACACCGACTAAAATCAGCCGTACATCGGCTTGCTGTGGCATGCTCAGCATGTTCGGCCGACCCGAAGTGCAGAAGGAGTTCGACTCAGCCAATCTAACATCTGGATCGGCTGAGCCGAACCTCCGGCAGGCTACTCGCTGCTGTTCGGTCTATTCTTATAGATGCCGAACAGCAGTGAGTAAATAACCAGAATGCCACCGAGCGGCATTCGGCTCGGCTCGGCTATTCTGCTCGGTACCTCAGAATAGAAAAACAGTTTAAAAAGTAGAAAAAATTAAATAGAAAATGATTGGGCGGAGCTAGTAGTGACAGCTAGCTCCGCACAACTGTTTTCTATTGGCCAGGCGGTTCTGCTGCCGTCAGAATAATTTTTTTTTTTAAAAACACCATAGGAATGCATAGCTAGATTCCTATTGGCTATTTCACTTTGCAATAGCAAACTAGCTATTGCACCCACCCTCTGCTGCTGTTAATCACTAGAAGGGGACCTGATGGAGAACTTCAGGTCCCCTCTGCTGATTGACAGCAGCAGTGGGCAGGTGTAATAGCTAGTTTGCTATTGGCTATTGCAAATTGAAATAGCCAAAAGGAATGTAGCTATGCATTCATATGCTATTTTTTTTTTTATTTGCTATTTTTTTTTTTATTCTGACGGCAGCCAATGGCTTCGATGTCAGAAGAAAAAAATTAAAAGGACAACACAGAAGGGGCTTCGGCTCAGCCGATCCAGATGTTGGATCGGCTGAGTCGAAGTCCTTCTGCACTTCGGCTCAGCCGAATATGTACGGCTGAAATCAGTCGATGTACAAGCCTGAAGTGAATAGCCGAACAGCGTTCGGCTCACTTCAGTTCGGCTGAGCCATTCGGCAGCTTTGTGAATAACGCTCTTTGATTCCTGATCCTTTAAGAGATTTGAAGATGGGCAGAAACATTCTGCCCCAGGGCCAGTGGCTATGGATTACAGCCCTTTGCACCTCATCATTGCTTTTTGCGCTGCCTGGCTGAATAAACCTGATGTATAATCAGCCTGGAAGCGGCTGCCTGACAAGCTCACTGTGTATATTTTATGGAAATATTAATCATATTGTGCAATATAGCTCCGGGGTCTCCTGGGTAATACACACAGGTCATAAAAATATATTCCTGTCAAATCAAAGCCTGCACAGCCTATGATGGAAAACAGCATTCAGTAGATACACAGTCCTCGTAGAAGTCCCAGATAGCAGGGTGTGGGCACTCACATGCCACAGGCAGACACTATTCAGCTGTGATGTGAATTGTAGGAGGATATTTGAGAAGCTGATACTTATGGACATCAGTATTATACAGTCAAATCTGAAAGAGTAGAGATACAGTGCCATAACTTTCTTTGATGGCTTTCTGGAGACAAAGCAGGCGTTAAAGCTAAACTACAGCTATGAAATAGAATATGAAATAGAAAGAACACAGAGTTTACCTCTGTGTGCTCCAAGCCAAGCTATAATTTTTTTTATATAATGTGTGTATGACCCACTCATATATATCTTCATCCACCATCCAACGTCTAAGTTCTCTGATTTTCAGCACTGAAGAATGGGAGGATACTTCTGACAGTCCCCACGTCCCATCCTGATGACGTGAACTCTTCCTACTTCCTTGAACTGGATGGACCTTTGTCTTTATTCAACCTGTTACTATGTTAATATGATATGGTAATATCTGGATAAGGGGACCACAACAATATTTGTTGGCTGCATACTGACCAGTCACCATCACCAGAACCACTGTGGTGGAAGATCATTGTGTGTATTAGGTAAGTGTAAGTGGCTGAATAATCCTGTTGGTATAATCAGCCTGGAACTGGCAGCCTGACAAGCTCACTGTGTATATTTTCTGGAAATATTAATTATATTGTGCAATATAGCTCAGGGGTCTTGGCTGGGAATGGGTGAAGGAGCATGGTTCTTGGCTGGGGATAGGTGAAGGAGTATGGGTCTTGGCTGGGGATAGGTGAAGGAGTATGGGTGAAGCAGTATGGTTCTTGGCTGGGAATGGGTGAAGGAGTATGGGTGAAGGAGTATGGTTCTTGGCTGGGGTTAGGTGAAGAAGTATGGTTGAAGGAGTGTGGTTCTTGGCTGGGGATAGGTGAAGGAGTATGGGTAATGGAGTATGGTTCTTGGCTGGGGATAGGTGAAGAAGTATGGGTGAAGGAGTATGATTCTTGGCTGGGTATAGATGAAGAAGTATGGTTGAAGGAGTATGGTTCTTGGCTGGGGATAGATAAAGGAGTATGGGTGAAGGAGTATGGTTCTTGGCTGGGGATAGGTGAAGAAGTATGAGGGAAGCAGTATGGTTCTTAGCTGGAGATAGGTGAAGGAGTATGGCTCTTGGCTGGGGATAGGTGAAGAAGTATGGGTGAAGGAGTGCGGTTCCATCGATGGCCCAGAATGCTGCCAAATCTTATTTGCCAACAAAGTAGTGACATCTCGCTGGTAACAACAGGAAAGTCCTTAGTTACCCTTCCTGTGGCTGGTGATTTGTCACCACTGACAGGACTGCTGGTGTGAAATGGCCTAAGGAAGCCCAAGGGGATGAAGACTCCGGAAACAAGGGCCACATTTAGCCAAACTTCCTGGCAATATGGAGTCAGCCAGTGAAAGATCAAGGGCTAGCAATCACCTTAATGACTTATGCTAATAGGTTTTTAGATTGTCCAGGGTCTTTCCCCGAATTTAAGACATATGAAACAGCTTCTAAACTTCAGAAACAGCCAAACAGGAAAAGTAACACATTTGCTGGATGCAGGCAACAAAAGACTGCAGGTACTTTCCACACAGCATGCTGGACCCACCACCCCAGGTGTCCCAGCCACTCTCTTCCTGCAGACAGTTTCGATCAATGGAGATGCGTTTGATATAACACGGGCTTTAGCTCCAGTAATATTCTACAAATTGTCCGCTGTTGCTGGGTTTTTAATACCATAGTCGATTCTGGTTTCTTTGACATTGCTTTTAGTGTGCTGCTGCAATGGCCTTGTGTCTTCAAACTAGTGTTGCAACATCCATGTCCTGGAGTATTCTGCCTTAAACGACAGCCTGGGACAGGAGACAGGTTCCTCCGGGAACACTATCCGCAATGTCTGCTCTGCATTCCACCCACAATCTGACAGCGTGCTGGTAAAGTGTCAGATTGGGGAGGGAGAGCAGACAATACAGGTAGAGTCCTCTTAGAAAGTTAGCCTTAAGGACACTATAACCAACCTCTCTTTCAGAAAACACTACTTTCCTGGCTGCTGTACTCATGTAGGCCCTTCAGTACTTTCTTACAAATGGAAGTCACTATGGCAGCCTCCATATTTTTCTCAGCACAAAAAAGTAGACCCTAACCGGATTGCATTTAGTTTGCTAAAGCTTTGATCAATAATTGCCAGTTTCTTTTTATAAAATACATTTTCACATTTCTTATCCTTTGTTTCACCTTAATGTAAACCTTCAGCCACTTCCTGTCTACATGCACCCACTCCAGCATCAGCTGTACATGGACAGGCTTCCTGATAATCATGCCTATGCAAGGTAAATGCCTATGCAGGGATCATGCCTATGCAAGGTAAACATGGAAGGATGTTTGTAGTCTCAATTAGGGATGGTCCCGATGTTCGAGTCGAACAACAGTTCGACTTGAACATCGGTAGTTCGTGTGTTCGGCGAACACACAAACTATCAGGGCGTTCGGCGGGCTATTTGCCCATCAAACACCCCACAAGACACTGTGCACCACACAGTGCTAAGTAATGATGACTTTGCCTAATCATAGATCTCTTTAGGGTCACGGGAGGACATATACTAAAGTCCTCCCTTAACCCAAAGCTCAGTATATAGCGGGTTGTCGAGATCCACCCAGCTGGCTGATTGACAGCAAACTCTGCCTATCTAGAGGCAAAGCCAGCTGTGCCCGCCCCCTCCCCTGTCCGTTCCGCCAGTCAGCACTGGAGGATCGGAGAGTGGGGTAAACCCTGCGGGTAGCGGTGACTGACAGTCACCGCTCACTGCCGGGAGACGATCGGGAAGTGAGCGAGCGACAGTATGTGTTCACTCACTTCCCAAACAATAGAGCCGACCTGTGACAGTTTCAATGTCACACGTGGGCTCTATCTATGAGGATGGGTGTAAATCATTAACCTCATAGTTCTATTTTAATAATAGAATGCAATGCCAAGCTGCAGTGGAAGTGAGGAAAATACTTTCTGGTACAGAAAGAAGTCTCCAGAGAGAGAGACATAACCTACCCCTGTACTAAGCATTAGTAAGACCTCATCTAGAAGATGCAGTTTAGTTTTGGGCTCCAGTTCCCAAAAATGATCTTGGGGAACTAGAGAGAGTGCAGAGAAGGGCAATTAAACTGATAAGCGTCATGGAGGTGCTCAGCCATGAGGAAAGATTAGCTGAACTGAATATATTCTCCCTTGATAAGAGTCGTTTGGGGGGGTGGAGCTTATGATAACCTTGTATAAAAACAGATATTGAACTTATGCAATGTGGTTCACCTGTGGCTCATTGGAAAGGACAAGGGGGCACTCTTCGTCTGAAGGAAAGGAGGTTTAACCTCAACATATGGATACGCTTCTTCACGGTAAGAGCTGTGAAAATGTTTAATAGAATAGACTAGTTCTTAGCCAGCTCGGTTGATTGTTAAAAAAAAAAGCCGGATACGTTTCTAAATGCAGAGAATATAACTGGCTATTAATATAGTAATAACACCAGGGATTTTTGATCCAGGGAATATCAGATTGCCTTAGGGGATCAGGAAGGAATTTTGTTTTCAAAATCGGACCATGCTTTAAGGGTTTTTTTTGCCATCCTCTGTATTTTTTACTCTGAATTTAAGTTTTGAATAAGCAGGTTTTCAGTTTATTTAATTTATTCATTTTCTATTGGTTGAACTTGATGGACCTGTGTCTTTATTCAACCTGAGTATTTAACTTGCACTGACTGGTAGAATGAATTGTAGATAGGAATCAGTCACTGCTGTGGATGGGCTATGTATTCAGGCTGATAAAGAGCGTGGACCTCTGTAATTCACGATTTAGAGTAGCAATGAGAGGTTCTGAAACTGGAGAAGAAGCATTTTAGAGAAAGAGTATTGCTCTTTTATTGAAGCCAACATGCCTTGCCTAAGGACAAGGCCATTGTTATGAAATGTAAACTGACCCTCACGCACTGTCCTTACGGTAAGAGACATCCTACTGTGCTGGTGACACAAAGCTGGTGGATGTGATTAGTGTGTTGTGTTACATGTACATTACACTGTTCACTGGGTAGATCACATTGCTACTGTATGGAGTCACTTTTGTTAGGTGAATAGCTTCTATTCAATAATGCAGCATGTAAAGCTGGCCATAGATACCAGAATATGTGCAATCTAACTGTCTACCGATATTTTCTGAGCCAGTTCCTCCCTAAACAGGAGCCACCTTGTCACTCAGGTCTCCAGTTTTGAGCACTAAAGAAGGGAGGAGGAAGCGTGCAAAGACAGTCTCAATGCCGAGGAAAACAACAACAATAGGGAAAGGTTTTTCAATATGCCGAATCATGCTGCCAAAGAATGCTTATTCGGGGCCGCCATTAAACTGCCCCAAAGACACTGGATCGTCAGCAGATCTGACCAGAACAAGAAGGAATTTGGAGGTTGACATGTGTAATGTTTATAGGCACCTTGAAGGAAAACTCAGAAATATATTCCAACTTTTACAAAAAAATAAAAAAAATAAATGCACCAACATGTTAATCTGTTCATTGTTTGCATTAGGGCATGCAAAGTATTGCAACCATGATCAGTGGATCGGGGCTGCAATGCCCAGTCTCCTGCAGACTAATTCTCCAGTTATGCAAGACCATCAGTTATGGGGCTGAAGGAAGTAATCAATGGACAACAAGTGTGGTAACATCACCTCAGTTGTATTTCACGTAAATGGGTCTATGAATGGATGAAGCGGCTGTGCGGCCACACTGTAACTATAAGCTCCCCAGACACATAGAGAGATGCCCCATGGGATCAGAAAGGAATATACATAAGCATCTGATGCACCCGATTCCACTGCTTCATACAACAGTTCTTTTAATATTTTATTGTGGACTGAAACACTGATTATTTTATAATAGTCTATTTTTCTTTCTGATATAAAGGTTCGTTGCATAAAGTTTTAGATCTGTGGACATCTTCCATAGGAGAAGTGTTTTGCACTGCATTCGGGGGACGTGTGTTAGGCAACTGTCGATAGTTCTAACATTATCTATTTGATATGGGAGAATTCTGCTATTATTATATTTGGGGGTGCAGTGGGTTAATGGTTTTAATGGGTTTTTATGTACTATGGTACTTTTGTTGGATATTTATAGAAGAAAACAGTCTTTTGAGGGGATTTTGGCGTATACACATTCCATATATTTATTTATTTTTTTGGCATACCGTATCTATATTTAGGAGGTTTGTTGTAGTCTGAAACAGAAGCAAATTGACGCAGGAGAGAAAAAGGGTTTGTGTATATTGTTAGCATTATGTAGGATTAAAAGAGAACTATGGGGTAACCTTTTTATCCCATACATAGTTCTCTGTAGGGTCACGAGAGGACATATACTAACCTCTTCCCGTGGTCCAAAGCTCAGTATATAGCGGGCTATTGGCCGCTATATACTGAGAGTGCCACAGCCAGGACGGATCCTGACAATACTGTCGAGATCCACTCAGCTGGCTGATTGACAGCGGGCTCTGCCTATCTAGAGGCAGAGCCAGCTGTGCCCGCCCTCTCCCCCGTCCATTCCTCCAGTTAGAGCTGGAGGATCGGAGAGGGGAGGGGGGTAATCCCTGCGGGTAGCAATGACTTACAGTCACTACTCTCTGCAGGGAGATGATCGGGAAGTGAGTGAGCAACGGTATGCCACTTCCAACCTATAGTGCTGACCTGTGATAGTTTCATTATCACAAGTTGGCTTTAACTATGGTATGAGGTTGAGTGTAAATCCCTCACCTCACAGTTCTCCTTTAAGTCTTGTTGACGGGGTCACAAATTAGCATAATTACTATTTCACATATTTGCGGTAACATTAGAATGACATTGCATTCACTTATGTGAGTATTTGATGCTTTTGCGGTGAATGATAATTGTCATCCAGATCATCCAACATCACTGTTGCAATCTAGGGACTGATCTGGGGAGGGAATATTTGTATTTATCTTTAGGTTATATGCTGAATATTTTACTATTCCTTTACACTTTTTCGAATTTTTTTTATTCTACTTTTTTCTTCATGGGGGGGGGGGCTGTAGCTGGGCTGCAACAGATCACTTCTTATAGTGATCTATTGCTGGTTGCAATCAGCCAGCAATAGACCACTATAGCAGTGATCTATTGCTGCAGGAAAATGCTGAACAGAGTTGTAACTACTCACGGGATATGCCATTATGTCACTCATGATGTCACTACACTAGCAATGTAAACACAATAAGGAGCTCCTATGAAGAGCACTGTAGAAGTATTGTAACCCCAAGACCTGATCGTTTGTCATGATCTAGATGAGGCTCGGAGTCCAGCAGCTGAAACAGCAGGCAAAGTCGTAGTCAAACAGGCCGAATTCGGTACACAAGCAGACGGTAGGAGTGTAGAAGCGGGCAGAAGCGTAGTCAGAGATCAAGCCGAGTTCAGTAGCCAAAGGTATCAGGTTTGAAGCAGAAGACGATGAGAGTAGTCGGTGAATCAGCAGCCAAATGTCGGTAGCAAGGAAGCAAGATATTGGCAGGAGCACAATAATCTGGCAAACAGGAAGTGCAGAGGCATGGCTTAAATAGGAAGTTCAAGGGAGGAGCAAGGAGTTCAGAGTTCAGCAGAAACTAGGTTTAATTGAGGATTACACAGGAGATCAGGCAAGGAGCTATCCAAGGTTCTAAGGTGGCTCAGCAGGTAGAACCACTGCCAGCTACAGGGGAGGCCCTGGGTTCAGATCTGGTTCCTGACATCGTTTCAGCTCTTGGGCTTAGCAATTGACCCTGACTGTTTCAGCAGCTCTAGCCTAGATGCCAGACCTGAGACTGACAGGCATTTTAAAAAGGCTTTGGGATCAATAGCCACTATCCCAGTGCTGTTTAAAAATGGCATCTGTAACTCGCTTGGTTAACACTTTCCCATCGTATGCAACACTTTAAACAAATACATTTTTGGCTTTTAATATATTTTAAGTGACCCACTCATTAATAGATTCTACCCCACTTACTTTCCCACAATTCCATCTTTTTTTGGAAAGATGGAATTTGACAGAGTAATCATTCCGGAGGATAATAATAAACTAACTTGGCTGCACTGATTTCATTTTTATGAATCTAGTTATTATTTTTATACATGTATGGGCTCATTAATTATCTAGTGAGCGAGCTGCTTAGTTCAGTTTTGGACAAAGTTCTGTAGGACCCTTGAGAGTCCTGTTGGAACAAGGCACAGTTTGTATTTACTAATAATTTGCTGACTCCGTCCACGGCTCCTCTTTAATCAGAGCCGATAATGTGTTTTCCAGGGTCAGGTAGAACCTCATTAGAGGGAAGTTATAGGGTGTGCGCTTATGAGATCGGGGACATGACGGGGAAGAGAGTATCCCGGGCTGAGATGGAGTTTTCTTTGCTTATTGACAGTCATAAATCCACAGAGCTGCTTAGAGATGTGATGCTAAGGGAATTCTACTCCAGATCGGCTTTCAGCAAGAAGAAAGAAATATGGAGGAGAGTAAAATATATATAATATTTGGCAAAAATTGTGGCTGGAATAGGGACAGGCGCGAGAGAATTAAAGTGAACCTGTGATTTTTTTACCCATGCAGGAACTAGCAACAGGTTAATTAAAAAACCATCCCCACTGAATATACCTACCCTTGCTCCCCTGCCAATGTAACCTGGTTTTATTTGTATTGGAAAAGATCATGAAAGTAGCTTTTGTTAAAAGAACAGATCCATGGCCGGTCTGGGGTCTCTATTTGTGCCGAGTGACTGATCTTGTATCCACCCCCTCCTGAAGTTTTCTGCAGGTAGCCTGTAGTAGGTGGGGTGGATAAGTGGATAACTGGGTTTGCAATGGTGTTTGATGCACACAAAGTAAATGTCTTTCCTTTGTGAGGAATATGCTGTATTTAAATTATTGTTTTTGGGATTAGAGTTCAGTTTTAATTAATTATTTATTTAACTCAAAATAGATGTCCAACCAAAAATGTGTGTCGGTTATGGAGTAAGGGAAGGGATAGAACCTGTCACTTTTTTATTGCTGTATGTATAGAAATGTCACCAGCACACCAATGATTCTATGAAAAACGTGAAAGTCCATTTATTGAAGGAACATTGCCATTCAAAAAGTAGCACTTTCGGGGCCACACGGGGTCCCCTTCATCAGGCGCCATTCTGAGCCTGATGAATGGGACCCTGCGTGGCCTCGAAAGTGCAAGTTTTTGAATGGCGATGTTCCTTCAATAAATGGACTTTCACAGTCTTCATTGAATCATTGGTGTGCTGGTAACATTTCTATACATTCAGTTTTTTCACTGTGCCATCCGTGGTCGCTTCAAGCACCCACCTGTATATCAGGTATCTCTATCTGGTAAGGAGTGCAACAAGATACTCGTTCTACATTTGTTATCGTTGTGTCCCGATTGGTGATATTTTCACCCGGACAGGAATTGAGGGGTAATCACCTCTAACAGGGAGATACGGACCAATGAAAACACTTTTATTTTAGTGGCAAAGGGAAAGAACCCTTCTCAGGTTAAGGTCAAAGATTTCTATTCTCTGTTATAGCAAATTGGATCACAAGTTAAAAGGTTTTTTTTGTCTTCCTCTGGATTAACAGTGGGTAAGGGTGTTAAAGGTGCAAAGTGTTTTTATGTTTGCTGTCTTTTGGCTGAACTTGATGGACATGGGTCTTCTTTTCAACCGAACTATGTAACATATTTCAACTGTTGTCCTGCTGACATATTATAGTCCTCAACCATCAACAATTTGTATTGCTGAAATTATGGATCCATCAACAATTTGTATTGCTGAAATTATGGATCTCATCTGACCCCTAAACCATCACACCAATTTAAGTTTGGAGGTGTTCCCCAACCCGTTACAGCTCTAACAGCTTCCACTCTTTTGGGAAGGATTTCTACAAGATTTTGGAGTGTGTCTGTTGGAATTTGTGCTCATTCAGCCAAAATAGCATTTGTAAGGTCCGGTACTGATGTTGGATGAGAAGACCTATCTCAAATTCATCTCAAAGGTGTTCAATAGGGTTGTGCAGAGCACTTAAAAGAGAACTATGGGGTAAGTGTTTTTCCCAATAGTTTTCTTAAGGCTCAAGGGAGGACATAAAGTAGCATCATCCCGTGACCCAAAGCTCAGTATATCGCGAGCTATAGTTTGCGGTATACTGAGACCGCAGCAGCTGGGACGGATCCCGACATTACTGCAGGGAGCAGTAACTTACAGTCACGGCTCTCTGCAGGGAGATGATCGAGAAGTGAGCGAGCGACGGTATGTGTTCGGTCACTTCCCGATCTATTGAGCCGACGTGTAACAGTTTAATTGTCACACATCAACTCGAACTATGAGGCTGAGTGATTTTCACTCACCTCATAGTTCTCCTTTAAGCTCCTCCACACCAAACTCATCACACCATCTCTTTATTGAGATGGCACAGTTATGCTGGAAAAGAAAAAGAACTTCCTTAAACTGTTGCCACATAGGTGGAAGCATAGAGTTGTATAAAATGTATTTGTATGCTGTAGTATTAACAGTATCCTTAACTCAAAACACCTGAACTCAATAAATTGGATGGGGTCCACATACTTTTGGATATGTACTGTTTATTGAAAAAGTATGGCTACTCTTGTATACATTGGGTCAATCGGTAAATATGAGAAAATGAAGAACGCCAATTAAAAAAAGAGGCAGAACCCTAAGAAAAGGGTTTTTAAGGAGTAGGATTGTGAACAATATGGTTGTAAGTGAAGATTTCTTCCACAGTGCTAAAACAGAACAGGAATATATTTACAATACCTCAGTCGATTGACTTTTGTTTTAACTTCAGGAAAGTATTCTGACATCACTCCTACTGCAATGAAACATGTCAAAAAATAATTCACTCAGCTTTTCACCGCCTGTTCTAACCAACATCTGCTTTTATGTCCTTGGGCTCCATACGTTGCTCCTCGTTTAGAAGTCTGGTAATAAATGTTTTTGATTCATTTCCAATAAAAGCATGTTTCTCGATATTCCACTACATTTCCTGAACAGAATCTACAAAACCCATTGAGGCAGGCAAGATTCATATGCTCGCTTCAGTCTATTACTTTCAGCGGTTGGCTAAAAGGTTAATTACCATAATGCACAGACACAAACCATGAAGCTGTGATTGTCTCACGGAGCTAAAGGGTTTGAGATAGGAATTGTATGCAAATCTCGAGCCTTACTGGAAAAGGTAGGCTTTTAAGAGAAACTCTGCACAGACTAAATACTCAATATATTCCAACAGGACCATGTTAAATTTCCTGTTGAATTACTGAAATATTCTAAGCTATCAGGTCCAGGTTATTATGTTTGAGTCATCTTTCCCTATAGACAGTTAAAAAGTTTCCTGTCTGCAGTAGTTTCTCCCCTCAACACATCTATTCTGAGCAAAGAACGTGAACAACATCAGTCAGCCAAGAAAGGATGGAATCTGAGATCAGTTTCCAAGATCTTTTCTAGATTTTTTTTAAATTTAGATTTTTGCATTACTTGAATAGTTGTAAGTCAACGAACCAAAGCAGCATGGTTTGCAATTGTTCTTTTAAAGTGATCAGTCATTGTTTCTGATTGTTTTAAGATTTCAGATAATCTTTTAGATTTGAAATGCTAATCTCTATGGGCTATGATTGGCCTACTGTGGCCTTCTTTGTGCAGCTGATTTGTTAATGTTTGAGGATGAATTCATGATGAATTATCATATTTTCAGAAAGTGTCTTCTGTCAAAAAGAAGGGTGAGCAAGTGACACATAACCTTTAGGTTGTGTGCATTTTATCCAATAGGAGTTAAGAAGAAAATAGTAAATGAAAGCAGTCCTTTTCTTTGCCGATGTTCATAGTACTTGCTGCCAGATATAAACTTTTCAGCTGATAAGAATCTTGTTGTGCACAGGACCTAATAAAAGCTGAGGGTTGTTTCAGCTTGCCAACATCTACACAAAAATAATACATGACTTTTTAATCAGTGTCTGCAACCCCCCTCTGCCAATCCCTGCACTGGCTTCCAAAAGCCAAAATAATAAAATTCAAAATATTAACAACCACTTACAAAGCCATCCACAACTCTGCCCCCGGCTATATCTCAAACCTTGTCTCAAAGTATCACACTAACCGTCCACTCCGCTCTTTAAAAGACCTTCTGCTTTCCAGCTCCCTCGTCAATTCCTCCAATGCTCGCCTCCAGGGCTTCACTAGAGTCTCTCCCATCCTCTGGAAATCTTTACCCCAACCTGTCCATCTATCTCCTACTCTGACTGCCTTTAGGCGATCACTTAAGTCTCATCTCTTCAAGGAAGTCTATCCCGCCTCAACCTAACCACTGAACCATCACGTTCTCATACAATTCATTCCAACACAGCTACCTCCTCATTTATCACTCGCCCCTCCCTTTTAGATGGTAAGGAGGGCAGGGCCCTCCTTACCATCTTGTCTTGAATTGTATTGTGATTGTAATGTCTTCCTTATATTGTAAAGTGCTGCGCAAACTGTTGGCGCTCTATAAATCCTGTATAATAATAATCAGAATTTCTCATTTCTATCAATGAGACCTTTAAAGTGTTGTGATCACTCAATCTAACTTACCGGTCTTGTGTCCCGTGTGAACCCAACTTTTCATTTTTCAAACAAAAGTCTGGTGAGCCTTGGAGGTAAATCAGTTCTGTTTCCTGCACGGGCCTGATGTCTAGATCCTTTGGAACCAGCTGTTTCCGCGTACCCATGGGCCGATGAACCACCTTGGTGGCTGACAGATATTTGGTTTTAAGTTCCAGAGCAATCTCTCGAAGTTCTTGAAGACCTCTCCAGCAAGTCTTAATGGAGCAGGAACCCGAAACACCATGACATTTGCATTTCATCTCCAGGGAACCTTTCAGCACCTTTAAGGAATACAGAGATGTATGTATGAAAGAGTCATAATGAAATATTGCAGTGAACATGGTAACTTATATCAAGCAATCAGGTTTTAAGCTTATTGTTTGTCAACCAACAAAACATGATATCTGACTGAATGTTATGGGTTACTCCACCTTTAATTATTAAAGCCAAATTCAGTATCTTCACCCACAGCAGGGTTAAATGGATAGCATGGTGGCCACATTCTTAATGTTTCTGGCTTACAAGAGGTGTTTGAGCATCTTAGTTGTGTTTGCATAGTTACACCAATAATGCGGACCAATGCATAAGAATGCTAGGGTGTTTGTGTGTGTGCATGGTAAGGACCTTAGATCCTCTGAGGAAGGTACTGACAACTGCGAGGGATCTGCTGGGGCAGTACAGAGTAGTATGCATAGTATAGACTTTAGACTGGAAGGGGCTCTGGGGCAGGGACTGATGATTGTGTTTGTGGAAGGTAGACTAACCTGTTATGTCTTCTGGGGCAGGGACTGATGATTGTGTGTGTGGAAGGAAGACTAACCTGTAAGGTCATCTGGGGCAGGGACAGATGAACTTGTATGGTAGAGATGTTACACTTTAAGGTCCCCTGGGTCTAGGACTGATAGGTGTGTGGGGTAAGAGCATTTACATTGTAAGGTATTCTGGAGCAAGGACAGATAAGCGTGTGTGGTAGGGAAATTGGACTTTAAAGGAGAACTATGGGGTCAGTGTTTTTCCCCATAGTTCTCTTTAGGGTAACGGGAGGACACAAACTAGCGTCCTCCTGTTACCCTAAGCTCAGTATACCGCGAGCTACAGACTTAGAAGACGGGATCTGCCCAGCTGCGTGAGTGGCAGCTGGCTCTGCCTATCTAGAGGCAGAGCCAGCTGTACCCGCCCCCTCCCCCATCCGTTCCGCCAGTCAGCGCTGGCAGATCGGAGCGGGGAGAGGGGAATCCAGCCCCTCCCCCTGTCACGGCAGAGAGCCGTGACAGGATCGAGAGGTGAGCGAACCCGGTATGTGTTTGCTCACCTCCCGATCTAATGAGCCGACCTGTGACAGTCTCATTGTCACAGTTCTCCTTTAATAAGTAAGGAAGCAAGTTAGACCATAATGTCCTCATTCTTAGTGTTTTACTTTTTTATAATATTTTACCAGTATCTATGTTTGAAAAAAGTTAGAACTTCCTATGCCCTGATGCAGTAAACTGGTAATGGGCCCTTGATAATAATACTGTTACTTAGTGCTGGTTGTTTCCACGGTGGGGATTTAGTGTGAGTAATGTCTCGGTTTCTCTATTTATGGGTAACCAGTTTTTGGGTGGATATACATTTTAGGCAATACTTAATACTTAATCAGGCAACATGTGAAAGGATGAGCTAAGGATTCATCAGAACTCTTACCTGTCTTCCCACTTCACTGTTGTGTAGGTGCATGAGCTTATTGGCTTGAGAGCCTGACTTCTTCATCTTCATAGGGGCATCTGAGAACTTAGACCCCATCATAAGGCCGTAATTGAGGTTGTCGGCACATCCTCCCCACCGATACCCGGGGGCTGGTACCTCTCCAGGGATAGGACCACAAGAACACCCCGGAATGTCACCAGAGGTACAGGCCCTGGCAATCGTATGGCTGATGGTGGCCGCAGAAAGAGCGTACACAAAAGCTGATTCTCGTGTCCCTGCAAAACACAGAGAAGAACTGTTTGTTGATTGGATCTAATAATCAGGGTGGGCTGAAGTTAAAATTGTGACACAGAGTATGGGGAGGGTGGGGGAAACAGAAGCTGGAGTTCTGGATTCATGATGTTTGCAGAATGATTACAGATTCAGTACAGTTTTAATGACTACTTGAGCAAGCTTGAAACACAAGTCCAGGAAGAAAAACCTTTAGATGGATGTTAAGAGGTATAAAGAAATTAACTTAATGGTACACATTAATCAAAATTAAGAATCAAGCCTTGATATGCACAAACCTACACAAGGCTTCAATCGTTCAACCAAACAGTATTGCACCAAGCCTCTGATATATATTAGTTTTGACGTTTTGAAAGTGATTGGTGATGTGGTGATGCTGTCTGTGCTAAGCAGTCATAAGACATTAGACAAATAACACTCCAGTTAAAAATAATGTAGAGACATCATAAACCATACTTAGCCCAAGATCTTCAAAGGACTTCACACAAGACCATGTCCTAAAATGTCTGTTTGCAAAGTGGTCTAGTGTGCAGTTTAAGGAATAACATTCCACAGAGTTAATCTCCACAGAGTTAAGTCTCATACATATTTCATTGTTTTTGCTGTAATGAAGTTACCTTCCTAAAAAAGTGGTTACATTAATGTAGGAGAAGATACCACTCAGTTGGACACCAAACACGACTACATTACAAGGTCCTGGAGGCTAAACAGACACATTACATAGTTACATAGTTACATAGTATTTGAGGTTGAATAAAGACATTAGTCCATCAAGTCCAACCTATTAGGATCTCATTCTAGGAGTACCCGTACCCCTGTATATTACGGTCCCTTAAGAAATCGTCCAAAAGTTTCTTGAACAATTCCACATTCTTTGCTGAAATCACTGTCTGTGGCGGTGAGTTCCAGACCCTAACTGATCTTACTGTGAAGAACCCCCTTCGCCCCTTGTGCTGGAATTTTTTTTCCATCAATTTTAGGTGGTGGCCTCTAGTTTTTGTAATGGAGTTAATTTTAAACAGTTTATCGCTAATGTTGCTGCCACCATTGAACATTTTGTACATGGAGATCATATCCCCCCTCAATCTCCTCACCTCCAATGTGAACATGTTTAAATTTAGTAGCCTTGTCTCGTAGCTCTGGTCCTCCATACCCCTAATTAGTTTGGTTGCCCTCCGCTGGACTTTTTCCAACTCAAGGACATCTTTTCTTAGTACTGGTGACCAGAACTGGACCGCGTACTCCAGATGAGGTCGAACCAATGATCTATAAAGTGGCAAAATTATAGACTTGTCCCTGCAATACATCCCCTTTTTAATACAGGACAAGACCCTGCTAGCTTTGTTTACAGCAGCCTGGCACTGCAAACTACCTTTCAGTTTGTGGTCTACAATGACCCCCAAATCCTTCTCCATTTCTGACTTCCCTAGCGGCATACCCATAATTGTATAACCCATTTGTTTATTTTTAATTCCAAAGTGCATTACTTTGCATTTATCGACATTAAACCTCATCTGCCACATTAGATCTTCTATGAAGAATATATCAGATACATATCACGTCTGGTCTCTAACAATTCATAATTTCATTCTGGTAAATGGCATACTGGGTTTTTGAGTGTGAAGCCTAGTCATATGGAAATTTAAAGGAGAACTATGAGGTGAGTGATTTTCACTCATCCTCATAGTTCGAACCAACGTGTGAATATGAAACTGTCACACGTCGGCTCAATAGATCGGGAAGTGAGTGAACACATACTGTCGCTTGCTCACTGCTTTATCATCTCCCTGCAGAGAGCCGTGACTGTCAGTCACGGCTCTCATTGCAGGGATTCCCCCCCTCCAGCGCTGACTGGAGGAACGGATGGGAGAGGGGGCGGGCACCGCTGGCTCTGCCTCCAGTTAGACAGAGCATGCTGTCATTCACGCTGTTGGGTGGATCTTGACAGTATTGTTGAGCTCTGTCCCGGCTGCGGCGGTCTCAGTATACCGCGAGCTGTAGCTCGGGAATTACTGAGCTTTGGGTCACGGGAGGACGTTAGTATATGTCCATCCCATGACCCTTAAGAGAACCCTTAAGCCTACCAAGGACAGCTGGCATAGGGGGTGGTTTCACTGTGCATTATAAACACACTCCAATATACCTACAACACAGTTCTCAGACCTTTTGATTGGTTGGAGCTCTGCACCACCTTGACAAGGGGACAAGAAAAGAGAGCTGCAACAAGCAGCTGGCAGTTCATGTTGTACCATCAGAACTGCTAAAGATTACTGAGAGTTACATTAAGAGGGCCAGTGACTCCTGGACCATCAGATTGGACGTAACCTTTAATTGATCCGAGCTCTGCACTGTACCAAGACCAGACAGACTCTACGTTTGCATCCTTTTATAATACCTTACATATGTCTGTTTTGTATAACCTTTTCTGTGCATATTTCTTTTATTTTTATTCAAAAGATATATAAAAATTGTAAAGCTGAATTGCTGAATCCTCCAACTAGAAACAGAGAACTCTAATTCTCTGAAGAGGCTGCTGTAGAGGCTACTATAGCATAAACTCTGCTATGGTGTCATAGTGAGTAATGCAGCCATTTTTAAAGGTAAGAAATTAAACAGCAGGTGCTATTAACTGAGCATGTTTCTGTTAAAATGCAAGGTGGTCGCTACCATGTGTGTGTAAAGGGTTAGCTGCTCAGCTGACCTGCCCCAGTGATGGTCACTCTCAGCCTACTAATGCTTAGATTGTTGTCTACCAAGCTGGAAAATCTCTGTGCAGGCTGAGAGCATGTAATCGTCACAGGGAGTACTCAGTGGAAGGTACCTTATTTAGGTAAACAGGTATTGAAGTGAGAGGTTTCGGGCAGGAGAAGAAGGAGAAGGTACTAAAATGAGAGGTTATGGGCAGGAGAAGGGAAATAAGGTACTAAAGTGCAAGGTTTTGGACAGGAGAAGGTAATAAAGTGAGAGGTTATGGGTAGGTGAAGAAGAAGAAGGTATCAAATTTAAAGGTTTTGAGCTGGACATGGAGGAGAAGGTAGTAATGTGAGATGTTTTGGGCAGGACAATGAGGAGAAGGTAGTACATTGAGATGTTTTGGGCAGGAGAACTAGGAAAATATACTTACTTGAGAGGTTATGTGCAGGAGAAGAAGATACTAAATTGAGAGGTTATGGGCAGGAGAAGAAGGTACCAAATATAAAGGTTTTGAGCAGGACAAGTAGGAAAAGGTAGTAACGTGAGAGGTTTGGGCAAGAGATGGAAGAGAAGGTACTTAAGTTAAAAGTTATGGGCAGGAGAAGGTACTAAAGTGAGAGGTTTTGGGCAGGAGAAGGAGAAGAAGGTACTAAAGAGAGAGGTTATGGGCAGGAGAAGGAGAAGACGGTACTAAAGAGAGAGGTTATGGGCAGGATAAGGAGAAGAAGGTATTAAAGTGAGAGGTTATGGGCAGGCGCATGAAAAGAAGGTACTATACTGAGAGGTTATGGGCAGGAGAAGAAGGTAATAGACTGAGAGGTTATGGACAGGAGAAGGAGGAGAAAGTACTAAAGTGAGAGGTTTTGGGCAGGATAAGGAGGAGAATGTACTGAAGTGAGAGGTTTTGGAGAGGAGAAGGTACTAAAGTGAGAGGTTTTGGGCTGGAGAAAGACATCCTCAGGTGGACCTATGTGACAGGAAGAACTTAGGTTGGGTTTCACCATTCTAATGATGTTTACTAGCAGTACAAAGAAAATGCAAAAGGAGAGGTAGTGTCATAGTGTCTTCAGAAATGTGGATTCTGAAAAATGATGGCCCTTTCCTCGAAGCCACATGGCATATCAGGGTGTATGTGCATTACGTTTTAAGTCTTTCAGCAGGAAATAAATGATATATGTACTTCGGTCTGATAATTAGCTGTTTAGCTGCCATTGCCCTTTAATTCCCAGCTTGGAGGTGTGGAATATTTCAGTTCACAGGGTAGGAATGTTACCATTTCCTGCCGATGTTTAGCTACCGTAGACCACATAATGAGAAAGAATAACACAATCCGTGCAGTCATCAGACTGAAACATTAATACTAATGAAGGGAAGCTTCCTCGCACCAGTATTCAACCATCAACCCAATGTGGTAACTGCCACTCTCCGGAGCCTCTGACAGCTAAGGTTACACTCATAGGTGCGGGGGACAGAAGGGCTTGCTTTAATGGGAAGGGGCTCTTTCATCGACATAACGCTGATGAATACACAAGGCAAGGGGAACATTAATTTTATGGGTTTTTTCCTATTACCGGGTAATCACAAGCAAATGCCACAATGATAATTAAACAAAGGAATTTCATTCATCAATTCGATGTCGCCAAAAAAGCAAACAAACCATTTCAAGGCATAGGAGCTCCTGGGAAAACAAGAGAAATTAAGGTGTATGTAAAGCTAAAACCTTTTTGTTTCATTTTGGGTAGAGTAGAAAAATGTTGGAACCTCTACTATGTTTTTATTTCTGTCTGGGTCCCCACCAGGAAGATTCACCCTCTCTAATTGGTTCTGGTGACCATTGCCACTGACAGTGGTCCCAATGGGGACACGGAGACAACTATCTAAAAGTGGATTTTCCTTAGTTTGGAGAGAGTTCCTCACACTTTTTTTGTGTCTACAGGACAGGATGTTAAAGTGGATCTCCAGGCTCCCGGGCCACCAAGCTCCCCCCAACCCCTGGTACATGCCTGAAGAGGACTGCGGTACTGCAGAACCAAGGAGGAAGTCAGGGATGAACAAGAGAAAAACACTTTAAAGGGAATTTATCAAAATTGGAGCAGACACAATCTGGAGCTGCTGTGCATGGCAACCAATCAGCTTCTCTCTTTGAATTTCAAATCTTAAATGAAGAAACTGAAGATAGAAGCTGATAAAGGGGGGGAATTAAGGGAATAGAGGGGAGAATTTATCAAAACTGGACAAGACAAAATCTGGAGCAGCTGTGCATGGCAACAGAAGGGCGGCTTCATCTTTGTGCAGGCATTTGGGGGGCCATTAAAAAGTAATGGCACGGCAAACGTGATGCACAATTCTGATGCGTTCTGTGAACATGCGTCAAAGCATGTGCATAGCATGCGTTTGGCACATGTTCACGGAACACGAAGATGTAATGGGGGAATAAAGCAGGACTGAAGCCAAAACTTTTTTGATAGATTTGGATAGAATAAAGGAGGTTTATAACTAGGGATGCACTGAAATGACATTTTCAGACCGAAGCCAAATTTTTTTTTTTTGTCAGGCCAAAACATAAACCGAAAATTACTATTTCGTTCCAACCTTTTAAAAATGTGTAAAATTATTTTTTAATTATTTTATTTTTATTATTTTATTTTTTTACTGTTAGGGTTTTTTTCTTTTAAAATAGAAACAGATTTGGGACGCAGAGTCTCAAATATCTTATTCTGCAGCCCCTGCTATGAATGAACAGGAAGTTACTATATCCAAAATCATGAATGAGCACTTCCTGTTCATTCATAACTGAGGACACAGTAAGCTTACTATGTCTTCAGTTATTTACAAACACTCATCGATCAGTTCTGATTGTTGAGCGCTTGTAACCCGCTCTCTATGCAGACTCTTCCGCTCTCCATCCTGACTCCTCCGCCTGTCACAGGAGGCCGAGTGTGGTGGTGCGGGAGGAGAACTCAGCCTCCTGTGACAGATGACAGCTCTCTCCTCCCCACACTCGGCCTCCTGAAAGCTTCTCTACTCCCCGCAGTGTGCCATTCCGTGTCCCCTCTGCTTTCCTCCACCTGTGCCGGCAGAGGCAGCGGGGATCCGAGGGGACACAGACCAGCTTTGGGACTTTGAGAAGAGTGCCATAATTTTTTAGAATCCACTGAATTTTCTGCCGCTTTTTAAGCCATTATGGTACAATCGGCATTTTGCCCACAGTACCATTTTCGCCCAAAAATTTTCAGCGGCCAAAATTTCAGTGCATCCCTAGTTATGACCCATGTCAGTTTTTTTTACCATCTGTGTCATCCCTTCACTTCCTGTCCAACAGCCACTGTTCTGTGCTAGAGTGACAACGCTCATTGTACTGAATCTATGGAGAAGCAGGGTTGTCACCCTAAGACAGGAGATTAGCTGGGACTACATGTGAGGGGGAGGTGTTTTGTAGTCCAATGAGAAAACTGGTAACAATTCAAACTGTTAAAAGCCAGCAGAAGTAGGGAGAAGAGGATGTTAGAACACTGGATTTCTAGAAGGAGTAACACTTTTTTGTGCACTTTTCCAACAATTATATATTTAACAGACCTACAGACAGCAAATAAGAGAAGTTCATTAGGGTTTATGTATACTTTTTGCATGCCACTACCACCACTAGATGGCGCTGAGGAGCATAGGAAGTGCTATGCTCTTCAGCGCCATCTAGTGGCATGTGAAAGGCATTCACCTAGCTAAACATTGGGCAGAAGATTTATAACTCATGCCCCTTTATCTAGTATGGAGCAACTTGTTATCCATTGAGTTCTTTCAGCACCCTAGATGCTTAATTCAGACAGGTGAACGCTGGTGAGGATCTGCCATTCTTGCCGGTGGGGAAACTAACCCACTAAACCACCCAGTCGCAGCTAGAGACCCCGCAACCTGGTAACCTGTACCAGTGCCGGTGCTGTTCAGATGTAACTGCTCATAACAACAGTTACATGCAATTAGGGCCAATTAGAGCTTCTGACCCGCAGGCCACTTTGCGTCCAGGGCCAGCGGTTCTCGCCGCATACAAACTGGAAGCAGCTAATATTAGCACGACTGTTTATCAAACCCGTATTTTCAGCAACAGATACACTTATTAATTTTAGTGCAAGCAAACACAATAAAATACAATTTTTCTTTGGTAAACTTTACAGATAAGGTTGTGTTGAGTAAATAGATACCAAACATGTCAAGCTTTTCAAATAGCGCACACCTGTGAACAGGCGAAGAAAAACTACGGTGCCCAAAATTGTCCATAGGCGACACTTTAAAAGCCTTTACAGGTCATCAATTTACAGTTTACCATGAATGACAGCCAGGGGTGCCCTCACACTTTCCGCCACCTGGGAGAGGGGAGAATGTTGCGGGGGGGTCGGGGTGCACATTAGTGGGGTGAAGGGGGGTGGGTGCTAGTGATCCATGTAACAGGAAAGGGGTGGGTTGATGATGAATGTTACCTCCGTCCGGCTTCCCACCCAGCTCACTGACGTCACTGGTTGCCAGGAGCTGGGCAGGACGCCGGCTAGCACCTCACAGCTTGCTAAGAGCTCTCAGCATCCTAGGATGTCCTGGCTGGAAAGAGGGCAGCATGTGACCCTAAGAGATGCCATGGCTTGCTAAGAGCTCTTAGCAACCTAGTATACCCTAGCTGGAAAGGGGGCAGATGTGCCCCCCCGCACGTGACCCTAAGAGATGCCCCCTGAGGCAGCCACCTCAGGCTGCCTCATTATAGGTACAGCCCTGAAGATAGCTCTTAAATGGTTACTCTCACTCGGCGTAATCGGTGATTCCCAACAGGTATGGCACAATCATCATTTTCATACATAGGTGAGGGCATTTGTGTTGGTTTGTGTGTGTACATGGGGGGCTTTAAACTTTTTTTTTTTTACATTTATGTTATTACATTTTTTTTCAATTACTTTTTTTGGCAAGCCCCCTATGTGATAGCACATTGGAAGTGACAGGTCCTCTTTAAGAATAAATCAAGGGTCTATTAGAGCCCCAATGTCACCTCTGCACTCCACTGAAGCCAAACGAGCCCAGATCATGGCCCAAACAACTTCCTCTGCGGAAAATGACAGCTCTAAAAGTGGAAGTGATGTAAACCTCGTCGCTTCCGGGTTCATTCATCGGAGAGACAATCAACCTCCCTAATCACTTCCACCAGAAAGCCAACAGCCAGCTGCAGGATTGCAAACAGACTCCAGGCTGCTGTAGCAAGCAGTTCGGTGCTGCCACGGGTGTAGTACTTACGTCCATGGCAGTAGAGGCGCTGAGCAAGCTTTTAGCAGCCACGTGCAAGCTTTTAACCCTAGGGCTGCGCTGGTGAGGAAATTGGCTACTGAGAAATGTATCTGCTTGTTGGCTTGTATAGCAAAGAGATTTCTTCATCTGCCCTAGTCTAAAAGTAAAGTAGTCAGCGCTCCAAGCTCACTCCCATGATGTACTACAATCTCATGTTTAGTTTACTCATTTGTATTGAGAGTGTAGTCCATTACGGGAGTGAGCTTGGAGCGGTGACTACTTTACAACACACACGGGGACCATGGGGAACACAAGTAGCCCCCCTCCAGAAGGAAGGACAGTGTCCGCACCAATTCAGAGATGATTTGAGGAACATAAGGCCGAGTGATACACAAATAAGATACATTGTTGGTAATAGTTAAGGTATCTGAATGTATTTTTAAGATTTCGCTCTTGAGTTCAGTGTCACTTTAAGATCTAAAGGAGATTGTACAATCAGATAGTATAGTATATGGTTAGCCCAGGGCTGGACAAAGGAGGCAGGTAGCCATTACACCTTACAAATTACAGCCTCTGCCTAACTTTTGAGGTTTTCTCTGGTTGCTGTCAATGGAGCTGGCTCCTAAAAAAAAAATCCTTCTGGATTGGCCAGACTGACTCCTGAATTCCATATTGATGTGTCCAGCACTGGGTTAGGCTAAGGAAGAGCTACACATTGGTTGTGTTATGCTCACCACACATGTTACAATCCGACTATACAATCTCCTTTAAATCTACAACAATTATGTAGTACAACGGCCTGCCTGATATGGATTCATCTAAAGTTAAATGTACAATCAGATTGTAATATGTATGGTGACCCTTAAAGAGTAATTCCACTTTCCCAGGTGACCTAGGGAAAATGGAATTACCCTCTCTAATCTAACCCCCCCCCCCGCCCCCGCTATACTTACCTTTGGGCAAATGCTCCTTCCCCTTTGCCGGTGCAGTAGTGCTATCTGTACCCCTTATTGCCATGTAACATAGCCCTGCGCTCTGAATTTTTGAATTACACTTTGTAAATGGCTAGCATTCATTGGTCAATACGGTCACCTGACCACACTGACCATTGAGAAGAGCTTCTGACAACGCTGACCGATGAGGAGCACTTCTGACCGCTCTGACGGGTGAGAAGCACTTCTGACCGCTCTGACGGGTGAGAAGCACTTCTGACTGATGGGAAGCAGTTCTGACCGTGCTGACCGACGAGAAGCACTTCTGACCGTGCTGACCAACGAGAAGCACTTCTGACCGCGCTGACCAATGAGAAGCACTTCTGACAACGCTGACCGATGAGAAGCACTTCTGACAACGCTGACCGATGAGAAGCACTTCTGACCACTCCGTCCAATGAGCAAAGCTTCTTGCTAAGATGTGTTTCTCATTGGTCAGGACGGTCAGTTGATTGCGCTGGCCAATAAGCGCTCGCCATTTCCAAGCGAAATTCTAAATTCAGAGCACAGGGTTGCATTACAGCGCAATACGGGGTACAGATAGCACACCCGCATCAGCAGAGTGGAAGGAGCATTTGCCCAAAGGTAAGTATAGCAAGGGGGGTGGGAGAGGGGGCAGCTTGGAGGGGGCAATTGAATTCCCAAATTCACCTGAAAGTGGAATGACCCTTTAAGAGGCTGGGTGGATTTTCTATGTACACATCCAGTGCTAGCAGTACAGGGGTCCCGGAGGTTTGCACAGACGCGTGACTAGAAGGCGGCAATCATATATCCTTGTAAACAGCAGGAGAGTGCGGACAGGAATTCTCAGCATGCCCTGACCCTGTGCCACCGCTCTCATCTACACGGCAAGCCGCGGGACACCACACTGAGAGGGTAATGTGACGGTGTCAGCCAAGGGGCTTTATGCTGGCCCGTCATCTGAGACTTTCCACGCGTCCACCTGGAATTCATGTCACGTCGCTCCTTCAGACTCCCTTACACGATGAAACCATTTGGCTCTGCTAGAAGCTGCTCTTTAAAGGCAGAGTAACCTCAGACACCCCAGTGGTGGGGAATGCGCACGTTAAAATCTAAAGCTGAACTCCAGATGGGTATAAAAAAACACAAATAGATGCAGCTCACTATTCATTATCACATCATTAAGGAAGTTCATATTCACAGGGCTGAGTGTAATGGTGTCAGTGCAATGAGGAAGTCCATCCAATGGGCATCTTCAATAAGTTTACAAACTTCTAGATGGATCTGGTTATTAGGAGTGGGATAGAACTTATAGAAATTCAATATTGGAAATACAGATTTATTTTTAGTTTTTGATCATTATTTACCTGAATTTGTCACACGTGCAGGGCCAGATTTCAACCTAGGCCCGGCCTTGGGGCAGCAGGGAGTAGAGGGGCGCAGCAGGGGTGTGGAACTCCTATCTCCTGATGCCCGGGACATGCAGTTCTGGGCACTGGGCGGGTAGTTGTTTTCTACATTTTTATGACGAGCATGTTCTAATTTTAGAAACTTTTCATGCAACTGATCTCCTCTCTTCCACCTTTTTTTTTTTTCCTTCACTAAATTAGATTTTCACATTTTATCACCCCCATTGATCACATACACTATATTGCCAAAAGTATTGGGACGCCTTTACACGCACATGAACTTTAATGTCATCCCAGTCTCAGTCCGTAGGGTTCAGTATTGAACTTGCCGCTATGAAAGCTTCAACTCTTCTGGGAAGGCGTCCACAAGGTTTAGGAGTGTGTCTATGGGAATGTTGGACCATTTGTGAGGTCAGGTACTGATGTTGGATGAGAAGGCCGGGCTTGCAGTCTCTAATTCATCCCAAAGGTGTTCTATGGGGTTGAGGTCAGATCCTCAACTTC